GGATCTCTGTGAGTTCAAGGCCAGCCTGGTTTCCAGAGCCAGTTTCAGGACAGCCAGGGCTGCTATACAGAGAAACTCTGTCTCGAAAAACAAACAAACAAACAAAAAATTGGAATTTTTTTTCTTAAGGCTTCACCAATATTCTGCACCCTCAAATCTGGCCCAACCCCCTCATTCTCCAGGCCTGACGTGGCCGTCCCATGTTACTGGGTAACGTTACGGGTATCCCACAGGACGCTGTGGAAAGTCTGGCTTGTACACCAGGCTGTGGGAGCTTGTGCTGTCAGGGACAGTTCCTGAGGAGAACACAGCAGGGCTGAATAAAGTGCAAGTTATTAGTTCTCCCATGCTCTCTTACATGCCTTAGCCTTCTCTCTCTCAAAGGGCATGTCAGATTAATGAGGCCAAGCCAGTCAACAACCCATAAACACAGAGCCCTGCAGCCCCTAAGAACTGAGGCAAACAAAACAAATGGAAAACTTGCAAATGTGTGTTCTCGGAAGGGCAGCTCTGGGCTCCTGGACCCCAGGTTCCGCAGGCTCTCACCCTCTGCGTCCTCCTGCCCTCCATCTGGCTGGTTTCCAGCAGGTTCCGGAACATGTGTTCTTCAAGGGCTACTTTCTGCCTATGGGCATCAGCATCTTTTCGGATTTCCTTTGCAACAGAGTCCTGATTTCCAGTAAGATCCTGTTGAACACAAAGGCCCCAAGGACACTTGTAACCATCTCATTGTCAAGCAAAAAGGAAACAGTGGTGACTTTGCTGACAACTGCGGGCACCCTGAGAAACTTCTCCATAAGGGATTGAGAGCGGCAAGCATGTCAGAATCAACTTCTACATTCTTCTGGAAGAAAGCCAGGGCTCTCCCCCACTGAGCTGTCTCTCCAGCCTAAACATTTAAGTTCAAATAATGTTTGGCTCAATAGCAGCTACTACAGAAGATAGCTATGAAGACCCACAGCCATCCAGAAAGAAAACGGCATCATACTATTTGAATTAACACTGAACAAGTAACAAAATAGTTTTCTCAAATAAAAACTTGCATTAGTAGTTCTTTTCAATGATAAAAACTGAAATATATACCCTGACTACACATTTGCTGATTTAATTGTAGACAATTCAGATTTAAAGTATTTCAAAATATTTCTTGCTTCATGCTCCTACAATCTCAAAGGATTGGGGAATTCCCCTAATCTAAAGTTCAACAAGTAGCAGTTCAGATTTGGGAGGGTCCTGGATTCTGAGCACCGTGCACCATGCACCATGCAGGGTGGGAAAGTTCCCACTAAGGTCTTCAGATGGGGCGATTTCAGCCACTGCTACATAAAAGCCTGCCGGGGCGTTTAGCAAACAGGAAGCCACCCTGAGGCCAAAGCTGGGCTCCAGCTGGTGCCCAGACTTGTGACTACACTGCCGGGAATCCGGGAATCCTACATTTGCCAAACTACAATCCTGGATGACATGATAGTCTGCTTCAAGAGTAAATAACATGAATAAGGACCCACAAATGCAGCCTTATAGGGGCTGAAGGACAGCACTTTCCTCCCGGAGAGAGCTGCTTCCTACCTTCTCATAAAGTCGTTTTTGTGATTCAAGCTCCAGATGTCTTATTTCCAGGTCTTCGGCTGTGGCAGCAATTTCTTGATCTCTCATTTGTATCTATGGACAAATCACAAATTGTCAAGGCCTCAAAGAAAACACCACATAATTTTTAATGGATTTATAATACTGTAATGTGGGTAGCCCATTAGTAGCACTCCAAAGACAACAACCACCAGGAACTGGGTTTCAAACATACTAACTGACAGCACAGTAGTCTCTCATGGAATCCAGGGTTGTTTATGTTTTGAAAAGCATGCATGACTGCCATATGCCCACATAGACAGACTGACTAGCAGGTGGCAGCTCCTCCCTGTTACAATAACCAGCTCCCAGTTTCGGAAAACCAACCAACTGCAAGTTAGGTTGAGGGAAACAATGTTTACTCTTACTAAAAAAATATTTAATTAAAAAATTAAGTTTCTAAATTATTTTATAAATATGACTTGGCGAATTGTAAGTCCAGGTTGAAGTTCCCCATGACCTGACTTCTGGTGGCCCTGTGCCCTGCATGGACCATGTTCACCCGGAGCTCACTGTCCCCAAGTCTGGTTACTCGGGACTCTCAGTTCTGTAAGACAGGGGTTGGAGAAGGGACTCTCTATAGCGTCTTCCTAAGTGCTCAGGTCCTGCAGACCCAGTTACGTTTAAGGGTGAGAATAGAGTACAAGATTCGTATTTGGAAAACAAAACCATAACCAATCAGCTATCCAACTGTCAGTCCCCATCATTCATTCGGCGAACATTTAAGGACTGCGGCACTACCCGGCCACCACCAAATATCTGTGGACTAAACCGCATGCTATGAAACCCTCATAAGACAAGAAGCAGTGAAGATGAGGACACTGTGGGATGCGGAGACACTCGTTCAAGGGGTAAAACGAACGCTGTTACGGGGAAAGCAGTAGCTAAGAGGAGGCCTGAGCATGAAGCCGGAGTCCTGGCGCACAGAGAGGGGAAGCAGAGGCCGGCACAGCACCCAGTCTGTGAAGGGTTAGGGTCCAACTACTAGATCATGAATTCTCAGAGATACAAACAGCACCCACAGAGATCACAGGAGCCGTGAGTAGACGCCCACACGCCCCTGCCGGAGCGGGCAGTCAGAGCCCAGCACAGGAGCAGGCATGCAGGGTATGCAGGGCCTCTCCCCGGCTACTTCAAGGAATCAGGATGCTTCACTGTACATCAAGAGGATTGGGATAGAGACACCAGAAGTCTGAGCATGGACCCCTTTTGGGAAAGAACAGAGGCTTTTTATTAAGAACACAAAGCTATTAATTTGATTCACTGGATGAAATAATTTAAAAGAGCTGTAGCTTGTAAAAGCCAATTAAAATTAATTAGCCTTAAACAAGAGGTATTGAATTAAATGTTGTATAAGGCTTAACATTTTAGTATTTTATTGAAACTAAGTTTTAAGTTTCCAAAATTAATGCATAAATTTAATACAATACTAATGAGGAGAATTTCAATTGGATGGGAGAGGGGATTCAGAAAGATCAAAGCCTCTGTCTGGATTGTAAATGTTTGAGACACTGAGTCAGATAAAGAACAACAACAGGTGAGGACTGGGCCCAGCTTAAAGAGCCACAGCTGCTGTCACCCACTGCCGTGCTGGAAGCCACCACTAGGGAGAGGACAAGGGGTAACAACCTCCCTCAGCAGAGGCTGTGCCAACACTCAGCAATGGCACACCTCTACAGAGAGGCGAGCCTGGTCCCTCGCCCACTCCTCACAGTCCGTCTTCAGAGACACTCGGGCTGGCAAACCTCTTCTACAAAGCATCGGATGGTAAACAGCCCAGGCTTTGAGGGTCACAAGGTTTTTGACACAACCACCCACCTTGCCAATAATTTTAAAGTTAAGATACTGCTAGAAAGAAAAACCAAAACCAAGTGGCACTATGACATTTTTAAGAGGCAAGCGGGAAAAGCCAGCTGAAGCTATTTACATCAGACAAGGGTTAATATCCCAACCTCTCTCTGCATGGCATCGCCAGCTGTGTGACTGTTGGGCAAAGAACAAACTGCAAAGACAAACGAACGCAGGCTGCCAACTAGAGACATTTCCTCTTCAGAGACTGACCTGGGCTTTGTTTTTGGACAAGGGTTAATAACACAGTCTTTTCCTGTGTTTCTAGAGGTGGAGGGGTACCTATGTTTATATTTTCTTATCTATGTAACTTTCATTTGCCTTCTATTTCTGTGGCACATTATAAAGACTGACTTTTAAGGTCTTTCCATATTGCTTTATGTATCAGTGTCTCTTACCGTGGCTATGTAGTGTTTCTCTGGTGAAGACGCCACAGCTAGTCACTCACACACCTAAGATATCCATACCCGAGACATCTCTGCTTCAGAACTGAGGAAGCACAGAAAACCCAACTCCCCAACTCCAGATGTTCTGTGCCGGCAACTCTTTCTGTATTGATCACTTGTGGATTTATAATGGAGAAGAGTATTTACCCCAGCTCACAACTGATGCTCACCGTGGCAGGCAAAGTCAGTAAACTCACTCATTTCTTGGTATAGGAATAGCGGAGTGCTAAAGGGAGGAGCTGTTTTCGCATGCATCGGGGGCGGGCACTGGCATGGTGACACAGTCTGAAGGTGTTTGTGACGTGAGGAGAAAGGGAGAGCCTGAAGAAGACAAAGCTGACAAACCTTTCTCTCAATCTCGTCCTCCAGTCTGCGCAGCTCCATTTCACGTTGATCTTGCTGAAGCTTGAGAAAGCGCCTCCTGGCAGCATCCTGTAAGCGCATTTCCTGCACCTTCAGCTCTCTCTTCACGGCGGCTAGCCTGAAAGACAAACTGTGTCAAAGCACTTTCCGACACACCTGACTCACCTGTGAGGTCTGGATGCATTTTGTTCACTGCAGCCCAACTGTTTACAAGAAACGAAGTCAGTATTCAAGAGGGTCACGGTCATCTGGCCATGCTATCGACTCTGCCTTCCAGCTGTCAAGTCTACCCGGGCCTGCTTCCCCGGGGCCCCGATGGAATCCGGGGGCCTCTTGCACGCACAGCTAGTGCTCTACCAGCGAGCTGCAGCCTGGGCCATCACACCACTTCAGTACAAATGAGTCTTTAACCACTGCAACGGCGTCAAGCAGGGTTCCCTTTACGGGTTCAGTGGACGCCATCAGTTCTGCAATTGCTTTCAACTGCCCGTAGAAATGAGACTCAAAAAACATGGAGAGAAGTCCCAAGCTGAGTGTGGGGCACACACACCCGTTTCCCCAGTGCCAGGGAAGCTCAGGAAGTGACTTCCCTTTGCCTAAGCTCTCATGTTGAAGACTTTGTTTATTTTTATGTATACGCGTGTTGGCCTGCATGTATGTAGGGCGCGGCCTGCATGCCTGGAGCCTCGGAAGTCATAAGCAGCACTGGACCCTGGGAGCGAAGTTACTGGACCTGGGAGCCAAACCCAGGTCCTCTACAAGAGCAGCAAATCCGCTTAAGCACTGAGTCACCTCTCCAGCCTCTTGTCAAAGATCCTATTTGTTTGCTGTGAGACAGGGTCTCCCTGTGCAACCCTGACTGTCCTGGCCATCCCTGAACTGAGAGTTCCACGCCTCTGCATCCGAAGTGGTGGTACTAAGAACACACACCATCACCCGGCACTGCCGAAGTCCTAAGTGCGTAAGGAGATAAACCGTTTATGTTCAATTTTTTGGATCATATAGTTATGTTTAAACATAATTTTAAAAATTACATTGCACTGTGCGTTGGTGGTGCACGCCTTTAATCCCAGCACTTGGTAGGCTGATGCAGGTGGATCTCTGTGAGTTTGAGGCCAGCCTGGTTTACCCTGTCTCGAAAAACCAAGAAAAAAAAAAAAGTCAGATAGTGGTGGCTCATGCCTAGAATCCTAGCACTTGGGAGTTAGAGGCTGGGGGATCTCCGTGAGTTCAAAGTCACCCTGGTCTACAGAGTGAGTTCCAGGACAGCCAGGGCTA